TCTAGATTCATCGAAAAATCGATTTATTTATTTTTCTGCACCCCCTATTCTGTCCACTGCTGTTTGTAACGGCTTTTCTTTGACGGGTTATATTTGAGATAATGTTTTTTTAAGTATATTTTTAATGAATTACAAATGATTTCTCTTTAAAGTAACTTGCAAAATTTGTCTTTTAAAAAATTTTCAAACCAACTTTTGTCTGTTACAGAATAATTTATACAGTACTGTACAGTGCATTATTTTAGCTCAAAATGTGAACATTACAACTTTATATTGGCTTTCTGTTCCATAGTTTTGCTTTGTTTTCTGCATGGTAGTGTTTGAGATGTTTTGCACGTTTTCTCCATGAACTTTGTCGTAAAACCTTTACCCTACTTTACTAGTTGCTGCGAAACAAGGGGAATCCGATCCTGAAAGGAAAGAGACACGACAGAAAGTGGATGACGACAGGAAGCATGAAATTGAGGCCGCGATTGTCCGAATCATGAAGTCGAGGAAGAAGATGCAGCACAACGTCCTGGTGGCAGAGGTACATTCGCATAAAATGATCAGTTTTAGGGACTTTGTTTTATTTTTCTCAATACTTAAGTTTTTTTTTTTTTTTAATAGTTTCTGTGAAGTGCTTGAGTAGTTCTCTTTCATTGGTTAGCACATTTTGTAGAATCAAGGATTCCTGTTGAAAGTCTTTTGAGATTAGATATTTATGCAGAAATATTTTGAACACAGTCTGTTCTGCTCACTTCTTGTACCGTGCTGAAAAACTGCCTGATGCAAAAAAGATGCAATGTTCAAATTCACAGTGCTCAAAACACTAAATTTGTAAAGACCCAATTGTTTTAGTTGAAAAGTTTGCTCTACGTTTGATCATATTCAGAGTAGAAGTTAGCTTGGCTCTTCTATAAGGAATCCTCTCTCCATCTCGTACCTTGCAGTGCACTGACTGCAGTCGCTTAAAGCTGAGACACTGGCTACTCCTCAGCACGTTATACAACCTTACTTAAAAGAACTATTCTAAAGAGCCATCTTTAATAAGTTACACCTCTCATAACTTGTTTCTTTTTGTTTTTTCAGGTGACTCAGCAGCTCCGAGCACGCTTCCTTCCCAGTCCTGTGGTAATCAAAAAACGCATAGAAGGACTAATAGAAAGAGAATATTTGGCACGGACTCCAGAGGATCGTAAAGTGTACACCTACGTTGCGTAGAAGATGAACTCTAAGAGAAGACTGGATGGGGCGTTGTTTTCTTTGAACTCTGGTTACGCATGGACTGTAAGTCATTTTACAGACTAAGACTGGGAACCTGATTTCTCGTCTCTTGCAGAGATGCAGTAAATCCTCATAAATGGGAAGTAAAATCTTAACGCAGACAATAAATAAACAAATTCATCAGATCTTTTTGGATAACTTTTAAATCAGGCCTAGTCTTCCTATTCCCTTGAGTTTTTACATGGACAGATCCAGCTAAAAGCTTTTCACTGTTTTACCCTTGTAGAGATCAAACTTGCAAAGAATCCCTTGGGAAAAATGTGAATGCACCACGTTATTATTTTTTGTTTGTTTCAGTACTGTAAAAAATAAAGTTATTAAAAACAAAAACGTGTGGATTGTTACAAAATAAGTGTGCTGTTGCACCATTTCATCACAGAACAGTGTTGCCCTCCTACATTTGTTGACAGACTTGGAGAACGCAGCAAATACTGAAAGAACAATGTGGGGAAATATATATTTTTATATACTTCTTCTTTCAGCTTGTCCTGCGGTTTCCACAGTGAGTCGTTCTCCTCTGTCTCACTCTGTCCTCACTCCAACGACCTCCATGTCCTTTAACTGCATCCATATATATTTTTTATAGTTGAGACCAAAACATCACAAGTTCAGATTCACTTGGCACGGTAAGGTCACAGAACAAGAGCAGAGTGGATTTAGCCATTCTTTTCTTTTATACCTCCACCCATCTTTAATTTTGGCTGCATTCATTTTCAAAAGAAAAACTTGTCCTCTAAACTAATTTGTGTTGATATCAACCAATTATCATTTGCAAGTATTTGGTTAACTTGTTATAAGTAGTATGGCAATAATGCTCTACCTGTACTTTAGATGTGTTATGTTCCTGCTAAAACAAAGGTAACTTTATTTTTCTTTGTAGGAATTCTCATTTGGTTTGGCACAGTGGTGCAGTTGGTAGAGCTGTTGCCTCAGAGAAAGTTGCCAGATCAAATCCCGATGAGACCTTTCTGGGTGGAGTTTGCATGTTCTCTCCGTGCATGCGTGGATTTTCTACAGGTAATCTGGTTTCTTCCCGCAGACCAAAAACATGCATGTTAGGCTGATTGGTAACTAAATTGTCTGTAGGTGTGAGAGTGGATGGTTATCTGGTTTGTGTCCCTGTGATGGACTTGTGACCTGTCCAGGGTGTCCCTGTCTCTCACACAGTGATGGCTGGATATGGTCACCAGTGACTCCCACAGCCCAGAAAAGAAGAAGCAGGTAAACATAATGGATGGATGGAATTCCCATTTGCCACTGAATACAGCACCAGTCATGTGACTGGTTCTGACATGGAAACATGTAAAACCAATCTAATACCATACAGGTCCTTCTTAAAAAATTAGCATATTGTGGTAAAGGTCATTATTTTCCATAATGTAATGATAAAAATGAAACTCATATATTTCAGATTCATTGCACACCAACTGAAATATTTCAGGTCTTTAATTGTTTTAATACTGATGATTATGGCATACAGCTCATGAAAACCCAAAATGCCTGTCCCAAAAAATTAGCATATTTCATCCCACCAATGAAAGACAAGTGTTTTTAATACAAAAAACACCAACCTTCAAATAATCATGTTCAATTATGCGCTCAATACTTGGTCGGGAATCCTTTTGCATGAATGACTGCTTCAATGTGGCGTGGCATGGAGGCAATCAGCCTGTGGCACTGCTGAGGTGTTATGGAGGCCCAGGATGCTTCGATAGCGGCCTTAAGCTCATCCAGAGTGTTGGGTCTTGTGTCTCTCAACTTTCTCTTCACAATATCCCACAGGTTCTCTATGGGGTTCAGGTCAGGAGAGTTGGCAGGCCAATTGAGCACAGTAATACCATGGTCAGTAAACCATTTACCAGTGGTTTTGGCACTGTGAGCAGGTGCCAGGTCGTGCTGAAAAATTAAATCTTCAACTCCATAAAGCTTTTCAGCAGATGGAAGCATGAAGTGCTCCAAAATCTCCTGATAGCTAGCTGCATTGACCCTGCCCTTGATAAAACACAGTGGACCAACACCAACAGCTGACATGGCACCCCAGACCATCACTGACTGTGGGTGTTTCACACTGGACTTCTGGCATTTTGGCATTTCCTTCTCCCCAGTCTTCCTCCAGACTCTGGCACCTTGATTTCTGAATGACATGCAAAATTTGCTTTCATCCGAAAAAGTACTTTGGACCACTGAGCAACAGTCCAGTGCTGCTTCTCTGTAGCCCAGGTCAGGCGCTTCTGCTGCTGTTTCTGGTTCAAAAGTGGCTTGACCTGGGGAATGCGGCACCTGTAGCCCATTTCCTGCACACGCCTGTGCACGGTGGCTCTGGATGTTTCTACTCCAGACTCAGTCCACTGCTTCCGCAGGTCCCCCAAGGTCTGGAATCGGCCCTTCTCCACAATCCTCCTCAGGGTCCGGTCACCTCTTCTCATTGTGCAGCGTTTTCTGCCACACTTTTCCCTTCCCACAGACTTCCCACTGAGGTGCCTTGATACAGCACTCTGGGAACAGCCTATTCGTTCAGCAATTTCTTTCTGTGTCTTACCTTGCTTGAGGGTGTCAATGATGGCCTTCTGGACAGCAGTCAGGTCGGCAGTCTTACCCATGATAGCGGTTTTGAGTAATGAACAAGGCTGGGAGTTTTTAAAAGCCTCAGGAATCTTTTGCAGGTGTTTAGAGTTACGTCGTTGATTCAGATGGTTAGGTTAATAGCTTGTTTAGAGAACCTTTTCATGATAATATGCTAATTTTTTAGGACAGGCATTTTGGGTTTTCATGAGCTGTATGCCATAATCATCAGTATTAAAACAATTAAAGACCTGAAATATTTCAGTTGGTGTGCAATAAATCTGAAATATATGAAAGTTTCGTTTTTATCATTACATTATGGAAAATAATGACCTTTATCACAATATGCTAATTTTTTGAGAAGGACCTGTATAAATACTGGCACAGAAGACCAGAGACTGAGTTTTATTCATTAGTTTTCTTAATTAGTAAAATAAAACATCACAATCCTCTTATTTAGTCATATGGGCTCTTGCAGTAGGTGACGCTTAATGAAAGGACTTGTTGCAATTAAAAGCTATCCTATTGAATCTTTAAACAGCTCTTAGGCTAACAGCAGCATGCTCTCAGTAATAAAGTGTATCAAGGATCATTGATCATTTGTGGAGTGTAGAGCTTCAAGGTGTGTTCTCTAAAGAGACGATCTTGTAAGAGAACAGTAAAGTAGTGGAACACCACCAAAGAGTTGGTTACATCCTCCAAAACCAGAGGTGGAAAGATGTTAAAGTGGAAGCTACTGTACTGTATCCTTGATGTTTTATTGTATCCTCTTCTAACAAGGTAGAGTCAGTTCCGCTGGATGAATTATTTGTTGAAACATTTAGTCTTTTCTCCAAAAGACTGACAAAGTCTTGTATATAAATGAAATGTTTAAACAAAGAAGAATCCTTCCAGAAGACCTGACTCAACCTTGTTAGATTTATCTACCTGGATTATTGCTCATGCATGAGCACATACTGTATATCCTTTAACAGAAAAATACCAACAATTATGTAGTGAAGAGGAAATAATTCAACTTTAATTTACACAAAAATAAAATGATTTCTAGTATACATACACACAACTCAGAAAGTTTTAACTCCTCAAACAAAAAATTTCATTCTTTTTTTTAAACTGGCACCTTATTTAATACTGATTAGCAGTAATTGGTCAGTAATACGGTCTAACCACATCTAGACAAATTGAGGTTGCAATTGGTCCAGGGGACCTTTAGGATCTGCTTCATGCTGTGACTGAACGCCTCGGGCCAGAGTCTCCAGCTGAGCTATGAAACTTTGAATCTCCTCAGCAGAGCTGTGAGTCCAAGCCAGCGGGAGGTGGGCAGGAACAGGCTCACGATCTGCAACACAAACAATCTGTCAGAAGAGTCGAGCCCAGATCTTTGAGCTCGTCGATAACGTGGATAAAAACATAATGATGCATCTGTTTTGGTAAGAAAAATATCAATTTTGTTCCGCTCACCTTGGAAGAATTGCCCGCTGCGTGTTCTAGCAGCAACTCTAGACAGGGCTAACCACACAACAGTGTCAGCTCCTTGTTCTGCAGTGCGTAGCCTGTCACCCATCATCTGATGGAACTGAGGCATTGATGTAGAAATGGCTGAAAACAAAACAGCTTGTTCAACATCACTGAAATTAAAGCTTGGAGCTTTGATAAATTATGAATAAGAACATGCATCACATTTATTTTACTGAAATACTGCAGTTCTTGTAACTTTTCCAGCAGTTATCACCATAACTCAAAAGTTGCTTTAAAATCAAACTGATCAAACAATTCATCCGTCTGCACTGTCAGCTTTTATTTTATCTGAGGAATGAGAAGTCAGTCTTTGAGCATTTTTGATGATTGGGTTGATCACAATTTTTAAAACTGAAGTCTTGCTTGTAAACATACGGGATTTTTACTGTCTTTGAACTCCAGACATTGGGCATTAAAATATGCTTTAAAAAGAAAACACTTGTATAACCAAACTGCTCAAAATTACCCACAAAAAAATATTAAGACAAAAAAAACAACAACCTTGTTTTAAGATTAAAGGAATTAAATCAGCTTCTCTTATTTATAAATTATTTATTAATAAATTCAAAAAGAAATTAAAATGTGTGTACACATTCTGACTGTTGGACAACATACATGAGCTGTAGTAATGTGCAAAAATTTTACTACCAATTCCTTCATACTTTTCTGTCAATGAGTTCAACTTTCTTGGGTAACAATTTACAATAAGACTCCCCTTATAGATGGCTAATAATATTGTACTTTATCACTGCATTATATCTACAACTAATATATCCTAAAAAAAAAAAAAAAAGGTTTACAAATGCTTATTGTGCTTATCAGGTAGTAACTTAATCTGAAATGTTGAATATAACAACTCTAGATGAAATATATAGGTGAACAGATTCGGTTCACTATTTGGCAAGAAACTGGTCAGTTTTGTCTCAGTCTCCCTTAATTAATGCATAATAAACAATTATTAGTTATTTATAAAGTGTTTATAAAGGAATTAATAATGTATCTATAAACTATTTATTAGCCATCTATAAGGGGAACCTTATTGTAAAGTGGAACCATGTCTTGTAATGGTCTAGTGATCCTAATTAATGGATCTTTTGGTATTCTGAAAGATCAAAAACAATTTCAACATTTTACAAAAAGTCTATTTTCTTGAGAGCAACATGAAAACGTATTCACTATTTCTACACAGATTTGTTTATAATGTGTATACTTGGTCATTGTATGTTCCCAATTGGCTTGCATTTAACCCATCCACCATGAGGCAGAGTGGTGGGCAACCATTGGAGGTGCCTGGAGAGCAACTGGGGATGTGGTGTCCTGCTCAGAGACACCACAAGATGTGCAGTGACCAGGGATCAAACCCAGTCCCGAGTCGGCTGTCCCGCCCCTAGACCATCATAGGATAATTGGGGTATTCATGGTGTTGTCTTTAAAAATGAGTATACATGCATAGAGTAAATATGTTTAAATACATTCTTAGAAAACAAAGTCAAACAATAAAGAAGAAAAAAGCTCTTGGATATTTTTTCCCATCTTGAGACAGTACCTGGTGTGTCTACCCAGCCGGGATGCATGACGGAAAAGTGAACAACAGGGTAGGTTTTGGCCCAGTGTTCTGTTAACACCACCTGCTGTCTCTGGAAGGAAACAACACATAATTTTAAAGAAACACTCCTGTTTTTATCACATCTCCATCTTCAGCTGAATGTACTTAGTTTTAAGGATATTATCTTAGGCTAAATCTGATTTCACACTCCTCCTACTCTGCATATTTTCCACTCTACCTTATTCTGTGCATAGACCGTGACGCCATCGAAGTAGCCCTTCTCTGACTGCAAGTCATCCGCTCTGAGTTTCTGGACCAGCATGCCTCCTGAGGACACAGTAATCTAATGGGCAGAGAGAGAACAGCTGCAGCAGTGTACTAAGAAAACAGCCTCAACAACACAGACAGAAGTGGCATTATGCCATCCACATGAGCCAGATGAAGACTCCTTTTGTGTGTACTTCAACATGAAATCGTACCACTCTGGGGTCCCGGCTCTTCTCTAGAAGTGGTATTAGCGTCTGAGTGAGAATATAGACCCCTAGGAAAGTAGTGTTAGTTTAGTACTGTGTAGAAACATGGCTCATTCTGGTCAGTGGACTCGGGTCTCACCCATGGTGTTGGTGGCAAAGTTCATCTCCAAGCCGTCTGCATTGAGCTCACGCTTGTGCACCATACAGCCTGCGTTGTTTATCTTCCACAACATTTATCAAAGTCAGCTCAAACTTAAAAGTTAAAAGTTTTAATAAATATATATGTTTTGCAAATGATTTGTAGATGAATAGAAAAGGGGGTGAATAATACTTACCAGTACATTCAGAGATGGATACTGCTTCTTGAAGGCCTCGGCAAACTCCCAGACTTGGTATGTTTGGGACATGTCGACAACATGAACATACACCTCCTGCAATAACTTGTATGAGTCTCCTTCACTGATATGTGACGTGAATTCGTGTCAAACCCACTCACCGTGTTCCCAGACACAGAAATAATATCTGACTTCGCCTCTTCTGCTTTGTTCTTGTCCCTACACATCATGTGGACCGTCCCACCTGGACACAAAAAGATCAATCTTTACCTTGTGTCAGAATGGAGCTTGTGATGAGAAGACGGCTCAGCAGCTTTGCATACCTTTCTTGGCTATAGCTATGGCTGTTGCTTTGCCAATTCCACTGTTAGCTCCAGTAATCATGAAAGATCGGCCCACGACAGACACATCAAGGTCCTTGGGCTCAAAGGTTTTAGATGCAGTCTCAAATCCTTGCCTAAAAGTACAAAGAATACATATTAACCAGTGATTGTGGCAACATAAATAGAGAATTGTTGATTATTTTAAGAAACAGCGGAAAATGCAATGTTTATACAACCTCAGCATTAAGAATTTAAATATTCCACCATCTGTAGCTCATAATGCCATAAAAAATCAAGCATCTAAAGAAATCTCTGCTTGCAAAGGGCAAGGCCAAAGTCAATAATGGTCGTGATCATTGGGTCCATCGGCAGCACTGTATTAAAAACAGGTCCAATAATGTTATGGACTCAGGAACACTTCCGTCAATCACTGTCTGTAAACTCAGTACTGTACACCATGCCATCCATAAATGCAGGTTAAAGCTCTATCATGCAACAAAGAAGCCATGAGCATCATTAATAAAAACACCACAGTATTTTTGGGGGGACGAAGCTAATTTAAAATCGACTGAGGTAAAGCAGAAAACTATTACTGGTCAAACTTAAAAGTTCAAATTATTTAAAAAAAAACACAAACGCCACATCCTCTGTATTAAACAAGAGAGTGACTATCTGGCCTTTTATCAGGGCACAGTACAAAAGTCTGCTCCCTGATAATGTAGAGGGGCCTTAATTATTCTGGCGTGGACAGTTTTTACATCTGGCAAGGTACAATCAATGCAGATATACAGGTTTTAGAACAACATACACCCCCAAACAGTTTGTGTCTTTCCAGGGAAGGCATTGCATATTTCAGAAAGTCTATGTTAAACCATGCTGCATTCCTTACAACAGCATGGCGTCATAGTGGCCTGCCTGCAGCTCAGACTTCTCACCAATTGAAAACACAATAGATTACACAATTAATAATCCATCAAAGAAGACCCAGGACAGTTGAACAGCTACACCAGACAAGAATGTGACAACATCCCCTTTGCAGCTGCTCTCTTCAGATGTTTACAGACTGTTGTTAAAAGAAGCTGGGATGTTTCACAGCAGGAAACGGTGCAGTTTTTTTTAGACCTTTTGCTGCCAATGACACCCCTGTTGGCGGTTTCTGATATGGGTCAGGGATGTGGCTTGGTTGATATGATGGGACCTGTCAATCAGTCCAGTAGGCTTGTCATCAACTGACCAATCTGCGATCGCAATTTGTCCCAAAGTGAAACACCCCCCTACCTGCAGGAGCTGCACCCCCTTATCCTCTGACAAGTTGACAACATTGTTGGGATTTTGCATTATGAATGCATCGTGATTTTGTGAAAAATCACCAGGAAAAAGTTCTTAAACTTTGTCAGTGAGGAGGGTGGAATGCAATTTATTCCATTTTCAAAACCTGAGTCTGGAAAAATGTAAAAGATGTATCAAGGCCGGCCTCATGAGCAGCTGCTACAACAGTGATAAACGAGAACCACATATTCATCTGTACCAAGTAAACCCTCCATTTTCTGTCACAATGACATGGTATGATTAATGGTTAAATTAAAGGCTAACGCTTAAAGCTAGTTGTGCTTTGTTTTGTGTGTTTTGTATAGATATATGCTGTAACTTCTGGTTGCACAAGTTTAGTCTTTGTTTGCTATGATCAGTTAACACTAAACCAATTTTGCACCAAGTCTACACTTTATTGGATTTCACTGTAAAGTCTTATCTTCCAGAGGGGTTGTTCGCCCAGGGCACCAAACAGGCTAGCACCCCACACCCACCAAAATACACAACTTTTGACATCTTTACTGTGTCCCACTGCAAATGAAATATGGGTTTAGGAGACTTGCAAATCATTCCATTCTGTTTGTATTTAAATATTACAAAACATCCCAACTTTTTTCAGAATTAGGGTAATGTACAATTACCAAACTGTCAATAGATCTATTGTAATTGTGCATAAAGGGACAGCCTGTGTGGTGAGTAGTGCCACACAGAGATCAGACCATTGATGTATCTCTGTAAAGCAACATTTAGACTCACCTAAAAAACAAGAAACACGCCATAAATCATATAATCTGATTCCCTAAAAGAACTAACATGAGTTACAGACTGCAGATCAGCAACAAAGTGACACTAACCTTGTGTACTGGTGGATCCCATTCAAAAACCAGAGAGTATTTCGATACAGAGACATGATGTGAAGTGACCAGCAAACCCTCAAAGTGCTGCAGGTCACCACCTCCTCCTGAAAACCTCTGAGACGGATCAGGATCACAAGAAGCAGATCTGCTGCACTTGCTGCTCTCTACCGATCCTGCATGGGAACAACACTTCAACGCTCCCGACAGAGAAAAGTTAAAGTTTGATCCGTTCATTCATTTACATGTCACGCAGCGTGCTTGCATCTGAGCACATCCCTCAATAACCAATCCAGATGCTCGTGAGGTCAATGACGCGTCGGTTCCCCGGGCGGCCAGAAGGGCGGAGTTTAGTTCCTCGGGCGGAGTTTAACACTTGTTCCACATCGACTGCACTTGTCGAAGGACGGATAATGAGTTCAGCCGGTCCGTTTGACCCTTTGTGAGGGTTAAAGTATATTTTAAAGCTGCCTAACTCTAGCAACCCCCTGACGCCGCGTCAAAATGGTAAGTGTTTCTAAGGATGGTTTGTGCGCATGCTCGTAGCTGTAAGGTAGCGTCAGCCTAGCTGCTCACCTGTCGCACCTGACACAGCAGGTAGCTAACGCCTTTACGACACTTCCTCTAACAAAGTGTGGCATTTTTGTTTTTTATTAGCCCGCTGAACACCAGTAGCGTTTATTTTTTTTATTATTATAGTTGTAATGTTTTATATCGAACTTTGAGCAAAAGTCGGAACTAAGGTGTGTCTTTCTTAAACCGGTGTATTCTGTAAAACAGGTTTCGTCACGTTCCCACCCTTCATGGCACTTTATGCTTTGCCTATTATTTGCCTGTGGGGTGACTAAACTCTGTTTTAAATACTGGGACTGACTTCATGCTTACTGGCTCTTGGATATAAATGTTGGTTTATGATATTTGATGCATAAAACACACAAACAATGCCTTATTGTTGGTTTCTGACTTTGTCCCAACAGTGGAAATACTGGTTTGTCCTCATTATTGGACCCCTCAACCCTGACATTGATACTAGTTTTTATACCATGTCTTTATATTCTGAAAAATGAGAGTTTGTAGTACAACATAATATTTTAAGAATATTAAATAAAAACACTAAAGTTCACTGTAACTATATACACATCAGCAGCTAAAAGGTGTTAAAATGTTTAAGTAGCTATAGCTTGTACATTGTTTTCCATTTCATTTAATTTCACTCGTTCAGTTTTACAAACTGTTATTACCCAGACAAAAAAATATCAAAGATCAACAAATTACATACATACAGTACTTTATGAATGAAAAGAGAACAATGTGAGAGAAGAATCTTCTCTAAGCTCAATAATAACCTTTAATAATAAGTCAACAAATGACATATTTCCATGCTTTTATTAATCAACCACAAATAAAACCCAAATACAAAATCAACTACCAACAATATTGTCACTCCTAAATGTTATTCCCTTAGTTAATACCATCTTGTTTTTTTTATTTATTTATAAAACTTCTGAAATTAGTTAAACATTTGACACCATCAGCCATTAATAATTCTGAGTCAGAGGTTCTTTACTGTCGTTCGCATCGCATGTGGTACATGTGGTGGAACGAGATTGTGTACGCAGGGTCCCAGTTACATCCAACAATAAAATGTAAAAGAAAAACAATACGATCTAAGATATGAACTAAGAAAAACCTCAGCTAAACAATACACTAAGCTCTAATGGCATAAAAACAATACGTCGAACAGCAGCACGAACATGAGTCTGTGTGAGCAGATGAGAACGCATGAACACAGCAACATGAAATTCTACTCCATCTACTGAGTTACATCCACATCTGCTTAAGTGTATTTTGTGCAAATGAACATTTATAATCAAATTTACTCCTATGATCTTCAACACTGGATCTTGTTACAATAAAGTGCTGAAAATTATCTGGCAACAGTTTCTTTTTAGCGTTTTGCATAACTAATAGGGTTTTTAGGTTGGCTAATTCTTTTAATTTCAATATTTTGACTTAATCATTTTAATTCATTCATTCAACCTTTTATTTATACTGTGAAGGAAGTCACATTGTGTCACGAGGACTCATTTTCAAGAGAGACCTGTTTTAGACAGACAACATATTCACTTTATGAACCAGTCTTTTTGCTTTGTGGTGATACAAACGTTTTAGTATTAGTCACGTAACCTCTATACAATAACTCAAATAAGGAACAGTTACTGATTCATACAAAATGTGTCATGTTGAAAATTATTTTTGGAAACACTTTTAACTGCAGTATTAAAAATATATATCTTTGCATGTCATTTGTGAGTTTTCCAATTAAGTTTATAATTGAATAACCCCAAGAATTTTTACTTCTTTTACCGTTTCAGTTGTTTCATCTGTAAACATTGACTGAATCAGCCTATTCCTTTTACTCCAAATCATAGATTTAGTTTTATTTCAATTTATAAATAATAGTTATTATAATCAAACTGCTTTTTAAAGTTATACATTTCACACATCCTTTTGTAGTCATTTTATAATTATTTACAGACAAAACAATTGTTGTATATTCTGCATTTAATACACTTCTCAAATGTCAAAAAATAGGAAATAAAAAGTTCAGAGCCTAATAGAACCTTGCGGGACTCCACATTTATTCACTTTAAGCTCTGATTGTTCTTTTTCATGCTACAAATTGTTTCCTATTAATCAAATATTTGGGGGTTGACCCTCTCATCCCATAAATATATAATTTAAAATAGCATTTTTTGTTTAAGCTGCTCAAAGTAGCTGAAACTTACAGACGTACAGAAACATATTTGTTTAAGCTAAGCACCGAGTGTAGCTGTTGAAGAATACAATTTAAAATAAAAGATTACAAAGTAAATCTGAAATATTGTGACATGATTTATATGATATGAAGACAAAACAGGTCTGTTTGTTTTATTCTTAGACTTTTGCCTCCTGATTTACAATATTATTCTCTTTATTTGTAATATTTTAGATCAGCTAGAGACGTGGAAAGAAATATTAAATTATACATATCTGAAATGTGACCCTGATTCCACAAAGTTTGTAAGATTGTCATTATTCATTCTTTGTAAAACCTTATTTCCAAGTACAACATCTTGGTCTATGATTATAGTGAGGTAGAATTAGAAATATAAAACTGAAAGAGTCAAGTGGAGTACACTCACCTGAAAGGTGTAAAGAACTTGAGATATTGTCATACTTTATTTACACTAACAAAATAAAACATCAAGGAATGTAATGTAAACTAGAGAAATTAGCTAAAATATGCTGAAATATAGCTGAAATGAAAGAACAAGCCTAAATTAGCAGATTAGAGAACAAATGCATATTTGCTGAATTAGGTTTAAATAAGCAAAAATTAGCACAAAAATTAGGAAACCAGCTAAAAAAGCTGAAAGTAGCCAAAACAGCTGAAAAGTAGCTGAAAAGGAGAAGCATGTGGAAAGAGCTGAAATGAGCTAAACATGTGGAATAAGTTGAAGAAGCTAAAATTTGCATAAAAACAGCTAAATAATTGCTGAAATAGTAGATAAATCTGAAACTAGCAGAAAAAAGCTGAAAGGAACATAACAAGCTGAAATTAAATTAAATTAATTTAATTTCTATAGTTTACCAGAAAGAAGTTAATAAGGCTGAAAGTAGCAAATCTACCAAGAAAATTTTAAATGTACTATCTGAAAACAGCTGAAATTACACCCCCCCCCCCCCAAAAAAAAAATGTTGAAAAGTAGCTAAAAAGGCAGAAAGAATCTGAAAATACAAGAAGGAAGTGGAGAGAGCACATTTTTGTTGAATTAAGCTGAAAAAAGTTTAAATGAGTGCAAAAAATGTGGAATTAGCTGAAAAAGCTTAAATTAGCATAGTAGCTGAAATGGTCGAAAAAGCTGGAACTAGCAGAAATAAGCTGAAAGGATCATAACGAGCTGAAACTAGCAGAAATGCGTTAGAGGCGCAAACCTTTAGTAGTTAGCAGAAAGAATCTGAAAGGAGCACAAAACTGCTGAAAAAACAGCTGAAATTTGCTGAAAATAGCTGAAAAAAGTTTAAATTTGCACAAGGAAGCTGAAAGAAGCTGAACCAGAAAAAAAATGTGAAAGGAGCAATAAAAGGTTGTAAACAGATCTGAAGGATGTAAAATGAGCTCAGTTCATATTCTATGAGAAAAAATGGCAGAAAAGGCTAAATATTTCAAAAAGCTAAAGTTGCATCAGTACTAAAAGTCAGAGCGTGATTCTCCTGAAAGAGCTAAACGTTTTGATATGATTTGTTGAAATTGTTTGAAACCTGGGGGATGAGAATCACGCCGAAAATTGTACAGAAGAAAAATGGATCACAATAGTGTGAATGCTTCATCAACATTCACACAACTATGGAGCTCTTTAAGCCAGAAAATCAACACTAAAACTCTAAAATTAGAAAAGAAGACGCAAAGTCTCTTGTTTCACATTCATGCCTGTCAGCCTCTCATTTATCTCTGTGATGGTTCTTTCAAAGAACACAAAATATTCAGCCCCTGTGGTGTATGTGTGCATCTAGTTAATAATTTCCTTTGGATTAACTTGGAGGTAATCCCTTCTGCGTGTTTTTGTTTTGGATCCTTTACGTGTTTCTTCATTAACCATGCCGATATAATAACTGTACTTCCTGACTGTGTCTGTCATTAGATGCGCTTCCTGCTGCTCTTCAGTCGCCAGGGGAAGCTGCGCCTGCAGAAGTGGTTCACGGCGATGACGGATCGGGAAAAGAAAAAGATCATCAGGGAAATGACCACCATTGTGTTGGCACGGCAACCACGTTCCTGCAACTTCCTGCAGTGGAAAGACCTGAAGATCATTTACAAGAGGTGATAGCCCACGTGTTTGTTCGCTTGCAGAGGCATTTCATCTCTTGTGTTTAAACTAGACTGTATTTATTGTCACTAAGAACTCTGTCCTCTTCTTTTCTTGTAGGTATGCAAGCTTATATTTCTGCTTGGGTGTAGAGAACCAGGAGAACGAGCTATTAGCCCTCGAGATTATCCATCGCTATGTGGAGCTGCTGGACAAATACTTTGGCAATGTATTTCATTATTATTATTATTATTATTTTACTACGGCTTTAGATTGAAGTAATGATGAAAAAACAACACGTTTTCAATAAATGATCACTCTTCTAATAGTGTGCAAATCACCATCCTGGTTTGATAGCCATGCTAATTATCATACCTCGCCTCAGGTGTGTGAGCTGGACATTATCTTTAACTTCGAGAAGGCCTATTTTATCCTGGATGAGTTTTTAATGGGGGGAGAGATACAAGAAACCTCTAAGCAGACTGTGAACCGCGCCATTGAATCCTCTGACATGTTGCAGGAGGTAAGCTGGTCAGGAAGCAACACACACACACACACACATACAGAATACTGTTTATACAAAACCATTGTAAGCATCTGTTGCAAGTCAGCCTCCTTAAAGCAACAGTGACGTACTTTTAAATGTACTTTAAGTGTACCGCGTGCGTTGTTTTCCTCTTTAAGGTTGTGGTTGTGGGATATCTACTGTAAATATCTAAAACTGGTGTTCAGTGATTTGCTCGACAGCAACACTCGTAAACGCTTCATTAAGCGCAGATGTGAAAAGTTTTGTAGAAAATGTGGATTAGTCAGTGATCAATTAACAGTGGTGCTGTCGTTGCTTTGTTCTCCTTGTAGCTATAGATGGCATAGATGTTGTTTAAAAAAAAAAAACAGAATTAGTGCTTATGCTTCTGTTTGCTTTGCCCTCCCTTCATGCGTGCACATCTGTCTCTTCCTCAGAGTTATTGCGAGTGAGAGACAGATTCTCCTGGAATGTGGCGTAAACTTTAGCTTTGGGCTGGTGCTCCCCCCCTCCCCTCTCTTTAGGGTCATGGCTCTGTGTGGTACGGTCGTTTCACTGGGTTTGTTGTCCTGTCCTTCCGAATGGGGCTCACTAACACTTTCAGATCTAGAGCTGGATGATGTTCAGTGTAGCCTCCCTGCTCATTTTGATCATTATCGCTTCAGGATGACCACAGTGAGTGGTATGAGGTGGAGCTGTTTGGACCTTGAATATGGACAGACAGGTTAGAGGCTCTGCTTGTGTTAGCTACCTACTGTGTGTTGCTGTGCTCAGCAGGTGATCTGTAGATGTGTGTCTGTGATTAATACATAATTTAATGCATTATTAGTTAAGCACGTTTTAACTGTCAATAAAAGCTGATTTTTATTTTATTTTTCTTTGTTGTGCCCCCTTTTTTTTTTTTTTAACAGACTATGGAGGAGTATATGAGCAAGCCTGCGTTTTAACCTGCAACGAGAAAGGGACGGCAGGAATCCACACATCAGATGTACTGTATATGCGTCAATGAAGATTCTGAAAATTAATTTACTCACTGAACCTTTAAAAAAAAAACGAGGAAATCATTGTATTTTAGTGCCTGCTCTCCATCAGCCTGAGGGTTGTTTTTATATTGATTATTGTTAATGGACTGAAATGAAGTTCTGTTGGAGAAAGATGAGGGTTTGAACATGATGAGTTTAAATTTATTTTATAAATTAATATATTTGAGGATAATAACGTCACTTTGGATGAAACAAACAAACAAAAAATCTGATTTTGAACCAGTTGTGCTATTTATGATGCTTCTCTTAAAGTCTTACTGTTTTTTTTTTTCACCAACAGATTTTTTAAAGACTTTTTCTATTAAACATTAAACAGTTGTTCATGTGTTGTTTTATATAATGCACAATTTCTGATTAAAATGTTTATTATGATGAAAAGTCCTTTTTGTCACATTTTATAATTCCTTATAAATGCTTCCCTTTTTTTCCCCACTGGATGTGAATCCTCGCTGCCTGTGGTGTTTTTGTGTGGGTTCAATAAGGCAACACAACTCGGCAAGAAGAAAAATAATCCAGCTGATGCTTTATTCATCCGTGACACATTGTTGAACATGTACAAAATGGTTTTAAAAACGAGCACAACCACTGTTAGGCCAACGATACAGAGCTTTGCAGTATGAAAGGGTTAGAAGGCAGGCGACGGTCTGATATTTAGACTTAATTACTCAGAACAACAAATCCACAAACCCTGAATAATAGCACGAGTCACAACAGCACTCATCCTGCAGCAGTCCCCAATATTTCCCCCCCGGAGTGCTCAAGTATACTCAAGTTTTCATAAAAACCCCATTTGGGATTTATATTTTATCATTTACATGTATATTCACAGCTAAATATGACACATAGGTGAAAAACCATTCTAGATATAGATTCAAATATAATATAGGGCTGTTTACAAACACCGTCTAATGTAAACATTGAACGTCACGCCATAAATTAGTCAGATTGGATTGATCAGGCACCTCAGTGCACCTTTAATCTCTTGTGGTCTCTTTAAAATATTCCTAGAATGTTCTTGCAGCAAGTAGGGACAGTCATTGTTAAACTTCAGTTTTATTTCTAAGATTGCTATAGATTATTTCCGTTAGGGTGTTATCAGGTAGTTCCTATGATAGAAATTTGTAAACTAGATCACGTCCACCATACGTTATGTTCATTTTATTTATTTTTTTTTAGACAGAATATAAATACTATATTCAGATTAATGCAGAGAGGAGGGGAGGGATCAGGTTACATCCCTGCTGCCTTTTTCTCAGGACGCTGCTCCTCTTCTCCTTCATCCACGGTTTGCGGAGCGGAGGTCTTGGCTGGCATCTCCTCTCCCTGCTGCACCTCCATGGGCGGTTTCTCCTCCGTGGCCCCCTCGGGCCCCCCTGGCCTTGTCTCAGTCTGTGCTTGCTCCATGTAGTCCTTCACTGCGCGCTCGTACAGCTCGTAGGGGAACTGGCCCTTCAGCTGCGCGCGCGTGTCCCGCTTGCTGATGGTGTTCGGGTACTCCGTGAGGATTTTGGCTGCGAGGTATGTCGTCACCTCGTCTTCTACGTCACCATCATCATCGTCGTCAGCAGCTGTGTCGGATTGGCGCTTCAGGGGCATTTTGTTCAGCTCGGATAAAAACAGGTTCTCCCTGCGGCCAGAGGGAGGGGGGATTTTCACCGCACCTGCGCTCCCCCCTGCGGGGCTGGACACCGTCTGGATCCTGTCCGCAGCTGAGGTGGTCTTCATGGGTCTCTGCACCACGGGGTACTCGTTGCTGATGGTCTCCACCCCGATGATGTCCAAGAAGTCCTCTCTGTCCAGGTCTCCTGTGGGGGTGGGGGGCTTGGCCTTCAGTGGCAGTCTGCGGCTGAAGTACCTGATCTTGGGGGTCTGGCCGGCCGTCGTGTAGCGGGACAGAGCCTGGGGGTCGCGGTGGAGCTTTCGGAGCTCCTCCGTGAGCAGCATGTCGATGAGGTCCTGCGGGGGCACGTGCAGCTTCAGGGACAGCTGCAGCAGCTCCTTCACCGTCCGGGGATCCACGATGGAGGGACGGATCAGCCTCTTCTGCTCCCCGGTCTGATCCCGCTTCTGGGTCTGGTCGCTCATCTCCAGAACCTTCAGCAGGTAGTAGTCCACCAGCTTGGTGTCATCATCTGCGTCCTCCTGGTTCTGATCCGCCCGGCGCTGCGTCTCCTCCCGCTCCGACTCCTCCTGGTCGCTGAGGGCACGCTCCATCTCTTCGTGGCTGCGGTTCACCACCTCCTCCGTCTCCTCCCTCTCCTCCACGGGGACCCACTCCTCGCCCCCGGCCACGTCATCATAAGCCTGATTCCTCTGGCCGAACCCGTTCCCACCCTCCTCCTCCTCCTCCTCCTCCTCTCCGAACACTCCTCTCTTCTGTCCGGGCAAGGAGGGCATCCTGCCGAGCTCGTCGAAGATGGATCTTAAATTGGCCAGGCTCTGGGGGGTGTACTGCTCGTCCAGGTCCTCCGTAGCCCGCTTGGAGGCGTCCGCGTTCTCTTCATCTTCAAACATTAGCGGATACTTCTTATGAGGTCTGGGGAAATTACCGAAATCCGCCGGTGCGCTTCCGGGCACCTCCTTGGCGCGGTGCCTTTGCGTCCGGCGGTCGCTCCGAGGCTCCGACGCGGCGTGGGGGAACCCCGCCTCTCTGCCTCCCTGGTCCTGGAGGGTCCTGAGCATCGCTTTCAGCAGCTGCTCGGCGGTAACGTCCGGCCTCTGGATGCCCGGGGCGGACTGGCGGTCCCCGGGAACCTCGTCCTGGCGCGAGGCGAGCTGCAGCAGGACCTTGAACTTCTCCACCTCGTCGTAATCCACCGGCTCGGGTCGACCCCCGTTCCTCTGCTTCAGGTTCTCGATGTACTCCAGGGCTTTGATCATGTCGGAGCTGGGCTGGAAGGCAGCCGGCTGGCCCTCGCTGCCCCCGCCACGGAGCCAGTGGCGGGGGAGGGACGCAGCCTGCACGGCGCATCCGTGGAGGAGGAAGGCGAGCAGGAGCGCGGCTCCTCCCGCGGGCAACTTGTGGTGAAAATGCAGCATTATAGGCAACGTATTACCTGTCAAACAGAACCGTGGCATGTTAGAAGATCTGCTTTTATCCATTTGAATGTTGCTCAAAACACTCAGTTCGTTTAAATTCAGTGTTTTGGATCAGATCGTTCCGCTCCGCAGTTTGAATGATGTGATGCTGTGCGTTCCCATCACTGAATGAGTCACTCCCTACGTTGTTATGGGCAACCTCAGCATCACATTAACCCCCTTAGTGTCTTATAAGCCTAAATAAAAACACAATTTTCCTTATTTTACCACAACAAGAACACAATGCAGGCATTTAATTATAGCATTAAAAAAAGCTAAATTAAAATTTAAAGGGTGCCAAAATCCATCCCATAAACGCAGCTACAAACAAGGCTTTTAATAAATCTAATTCAAGAACGCCTGCTTATTTGAGCTAAGAATGACAAAAGTTTATTTTACCTTTGGTAACAAAGCTCAGACAGCAGTGAGGATGTATGGCATCTCCTCAGGAGCGGCGCTGAAACACTTCTGTTTTCAGCACTTGGACAGCTCCTCCTGTTATATGAGGCACCACGTGATCACCGCGTCATCATCACACAACACACGCAAGAGCCTGGCCCTAAAAAACGCCAGAGAAATGATTCAGGCTCATTAAAAGGCACACTGAAGGGCCTGCTGGATTAAAAATAGCTCCAGTCTGTTGCACAGCACCTCTCTGTTGTTGGAAAGATGGAGGGTTCACTGCGGAACGTCTTCAAGGAAGCTGGAAACGTGTGCTATAAAACACAACCTGGAATTAAAGTCCATTTATTGAAGGGAATGCATATCGCCCGCCTTTTTTTTTAGTTTTAGATCATCTCATGTTGAGAAAACGCGTTTGGCAATCGTCACGTGCAACATCTTACGTGTATCATCTACTATAGCTCAATATCTGTCCAATTTACTGAGGTAAAGAGAGATTACTCCAAATGGGCCGTGGCAAATAAATAAATATATAAATAAATAAACAAATGCTGTTCTGTTAGCGCTCAGAATATGTGTTAGAGGGTCAGCCTCAGCTACCACCACGCCACATTTTAGGTCAGCATCTGTAGAAGCAGTTGAGCTCTAGCCATTTTTAGACTTTTGAAAGTTAGCTGGCTATATGCCAACTTGAGATGGACGTGTTCTTTAAATAAAATGATTCACGAGATATTTTACTAACAGACAGACCCAGACAACTGGCATGAAACATAATCGCCTTCAGCAGCGGTAAAATATGGGGTATAACTTGTTCCATCACAGGACTTGTTTCCGTTCTGCTTGTTTTCATGGTATAATAGTTTCACCATCACTGCCTTCATGGCAGCTCGAGGGTTAAAAAGCCCGTAGCGATGACTCACAGGCTCGAAGTGGAGACGAGCTGCTGTCGCAGTTCTGTGGCCCCTCCTCTCCCCCCTCCCATCCTCTCTCCCTCTCTCTCTTACTCTCTCTCTCTCTCTGTGTGTGCTGACAGAGGTGGTGATAAACACCCTCCTGACGGCTGAGGGCCAAAGCTCCGGCATTCCGCAGGGTCTGCACAGATAAAGGGGCCACAGCAGCTTCCGATTAAATGTCAAACAGGTGATGACAAGTTTTATGGCAAGGCCAAGAGGTTGTGCTTAACACTTCTTTTGTTTTCTGTGACCAGATATGGAAGGATCACAACATGCCACCACGTTTGAGCTGTGGAACTGTCACTGCTCCAGACTGTGAAATTTAATACAAACGCACAAGAAATTTTAGGAGTCGTTTGCAATTTGCAAAAATCTCCGTAATTTGGACGCCAGATCTCATTTTGTAGAATAAGAGTCAGAGTCGGAGAGGTTTATTTGTCATTTGCATCTCATGTGGTACATGTGGTGGAATGAGATTATGTACGCAGGATCCCAGTTACATCCAACAATAAAATGTAAAAAGAGAAACAATAATAACATCTAAGATGTGAACTAAGAAAAACATAAACTAAATAATACACTAAGCACTAATAGCATAAAAACATTACGTCGAACAGCAGCACGAACATGAGTCTGTGTGAGCAGATGAATATGAACGAACACAGCAACATGAAACAGATCAGCAGCAACATGAAACAGATCAGCAGCAACATGATGTGATTTTTCGCAGTGCTTATCCTGGTTAGATGAGTCTCACAGCCTCAAGGTAGGAGCTGTTCCTCAGTCTAGTGGCCCCACACCTGCTCCTTAACCTCCTTCCTGAGGGGAGCGGGGCAAAAAGTGTGTGTGCTGGGTGAGTGGGGTCCTTCATGATGCAGGTGGCCCTCTTCCTGCATCTGGAGGTGTAAATGTCTGTTATGGTGGGGAGACTGACTCCAACAGACTTCTGTGCAGCCTTCACCACTCTCTGCAAAGCTTTTCTTTCTGAGCTGTGCATAAATAATACAGCAAAAGCGTAAACATTGTGTAAATAAATACTAGAATTAAAAAAAACCAGAATGCAATAATTTGCAAATCTCACAAATTTTATTCAAAATGGAACAAAATAACTGGAACAGAAAATTGTTCTGTTTTTAGAGGAAACAAAGAAATCAGTCTTGAATATGATGGCAGCAACACGTCTTAAATGAGTAGGAAGAGGTTCATATTTCCCACTGTCAGTTTTGATTATATTTCAAAAATATTGAAATAGTTCTACTTCTTTATTATCACTGCTGTAATAATTGTGTGTTTCTCTACATGTTCACTGAAACAGGCTGAAGACTTGATCCTGAAACAGCAAGATTTCAAGTCTCCATTAGAGCTCAGGGTCTGTTTTCCTCTGTAATACATTATATACACGTGTCTGCTCACTTAACTGTTCTAAACTATTTAATCTTTTACTTTAATTAAACACAAAACGTGTCTATTATAACCTTTTCTTTCATTTCCAGGAGCAAGAAAATGTCACTTTCACCAAGGTGACGCCACCTCTTAGGTTAGAGAGCGTCTTGACATTAAGTAACTCGTAGATTTTTTATATTTGCGGTCTTGTTTAGGTGAGTCGCACTTGAAATGGGATCACAGATCAAGTAATAGGTGAGCAGAAAAACAGAGATGGAGAGGTGGTGTCACATAAGCCTTGTTTTCAGAATCCATCAACATCACGCCCTCTATTCAGAAACAGCAGCAGCTTGTTTTCCTCCATTTATAAAAAGAAACAAAAGGAGAATATGATCAGCCTCTCGGTTCCTCTAAAAAACAAGCACAAGTATGAAAATGTATGCGGATATGCTTATTTATTGCTCATAGGCATGACTAATAAAAATGTCAAGCCGTCACTGGTAGGTGGTTCTCACAGATCAAAAATGAAAGAGAGCAACATTCTCTTTTGAGCCCTTTAATTGTTAGTTTGTGCTCATGGTCTAACCACACTAACACGTAATTAGTGAGTAGAGCACCTTTTTTACAGCTAAGTATAAATTGTCGCACGTTTGTTGCGTCCGCGTGTACGTTTTAATGAGCTTGCATCCTCTGCTGTTATCTTGGCTTTGGTTCAGTCGTGTGAGGTGGCAAGCTGTTGAACATCTGTCGAGCTGTTTTAGATCTCATGAATATGTCTCCGTTGTTGCCTTAGTTATTTCAGCCCCCTCCGGGTGCTGCGACGATTCTGTTACAGATCAGATTTCTTGAAGCTCAGACCTCATCGGGCTGCTGGTGAACGTTTCACTGAGTGAATCTTTTCTTCGTCTCTTGGGCCTGTGGTGAGTTTGTCTGTGGGCATCGTTGCGTACGCAGACCCACTCACTTCGCTCATTAAAGGTAAAGATTTCCACTGGTTAGTGCCACTCACTCCTCTTTTCTTTCCTTCTTTGTCTCCATTTCCTTCGCTGTCTTTCTCAATGAATGTTACAGCAGGGAGGACAGAAGATTATAGTAAATAAATTAAAGTTCACACTCACCGTGCCGTTGCTTCTTTAATCACCTCACATTGATTCTTCCTCTTTATTCCTCTGTGAGTACAAGCTCCTTTATTAGCAGATAACTCAAAGAACAGGTACAATTAATTGCATTTCAGTTATATTATGTTTGTATCCTGTTATGCACTTCCTTACAGAGCTTTCCTCAGCATCGTGGATGGCAGACACAGATTTTTCAGAAGTGTTCCTGAGTCCATGCAGTGATGCCCAGAACTGAATCTGACCTGTTTAAGACAGTGCTGCCCGAGGACCCGATGATCATGGACCAGATTAAACAAACATTATCTTAATGATGGTGTGCACCATAGATGAGGGGATACTCAAAGTCTTCCCTATTCTTTTTGAGGAACATGATTTTGAAATTGCTCTACTGTTTATAGATGCCTTTTTCTTTTTTTTTTGGCAGACTGGTGAACCTCTGCCCATCTTTACTTCTGAGAGATTCAGCCTCTCTAATCAACCTAATTAGTTGCAAAGCTGCTTTTTAAATTTTTTTTTACAACCTTTTGTTGCTCCTGCACAATCTTTTGTGAAATGTGTTGTTGCTATCAAATACAAAAAGTATTGCAATTTTATTTTATTTTATTTCGACTGCTTTCTTCTTCAGGGGTCGCCACAGGGAGAAAACACACATGAGAAATTGGCAACTGCTTTTTTTTTTTGTTTGTTTCTGCCTGATCCCCTTCCTGATGCAACCAGACCACCGAGCTACCACAGTCCTCTGTGTGGAGCAGAGGACTGGATGATGGGTGGGGGCGGGGGGTGGTATGGGCCTTGCTCAAGTTCCCAGAGTGAGACAAAAGAGGGTGGAGGCAGATGTGGGGGCTTTATTTTTTCTATATATTCAGAGTCACATTTTGAGTCTGAGGTTCCACACAAGCTATGACCAGCAGCAAACAAATATTGGAAGCACAATCTGAAACAGTTCCAAGTTATTACTGCTATATCTATTTTCAAACATTCCAGTTGTGCAATTTAATTTAAGCATTGGAAAGATAGAAGAAAACATTAATGTTCTGGTTCTTAGGTCAGAGTATATGCCTGAAAAAAGCAATTACATCATAATTTATATTTATTACTTGCAAAGCAAAATTACACAATCATTTCTGCAGAAAAGTTATTATGAGATAACTTGACTAGTTATTGACACACACTCTTATTACCGCATGTTTTGTTGTAAATATTTTAACACTACTGTTATTAAGGCTGTTGCTGTATTTGTAACGACGTGTTTGCACCTTGCACATTACACATCCTTGCAATAGAGATTAATAATCTCAATGGATTTCTTTCTTGGTAAAATAAAGGTTTTAATAAAACATTAAACAAACCCACATAATTGCTCAGTGAAAATATAAAAGGTAAACCTCAGCAAGGATATCTTTACTTTTAATCTCACCTTTCTTTTAGTTTCAGCACAATCTGTTTCGTATTCAGTGTTTACATGCGGCGCGTCTTGAGAAATAAATAAATCAAAATAAAACTGACACACTGACAGAAGCAGTGCCGATTTGATCTCATTAGCAGATGTTTTGCCAACTGTGTTGAATTTAGAAATCAAAGCTTGGCAACAACAAATTAAGCACTAAAAACTTA